CGGCGCGGGTCCGGGTTTGGCCACGGCAGCCGGGGCAGCTGCGGAGCGGGGAGGCGAGGGGGCGTCTGCCGGGAGAGGGGGGCAGCGCGAGGGGTTTGCACCTCGTTACACAGCGGGAAGCCGCAAGGAGGGGGGGTGTTGGTGGGGAGGCGGGGGTCTCTGGACATCCCGAGGGGATGTGGCACCCCCTTGTGTCCAGGGGACTCTTGGGCAGGTCCCGGAGGGGACACGGAAGGTGTCCCAAAGGGGTGTCGCACCCAGCTGCGGCCAAGAGGTCTGGATGGTGGCGTCGTGCCCCGCTGCAGCCCGTGGGTCCCGAGGGGCTGGGAATGAGGAGTCCCGGAGCAGAGGGGAACAGGGAGGAACCCTGTGCTGCTGGGGCCGGGGGCTCCTGCCCTGGTCTCCCCACCGAGTCCCAAACCGGGGCCAGACAAGGAGCAGGGACATGGGTCCACAAGGGTCCTCTTGCTTTTGGGGCGAGGGCACCTTGGTGCTCGCACCCCTCCTTTTTCCCATCCGCGCAGCAAGGAGAGCAGGACCAAGAGAGTGAGGGACGGGACCTCCAGGCTTTCCATCAAGGGGCTCAGAGGAGCCCGTATGACGCCCGTGGGTGCCGTGCCTGGTGACATAGGGAGGAGCAGGGACATGGGTCCACAAGGGTCCTCTTGCTTTTGGGGCGAGGGCACCTTGGTGCTCGCACCCCTCCTTTTTCCCATCCGCGCAGCAAGGAGAGCAGGACCAAGAGAGTGAGGGACGGGACCTCCAGGCTTTCCATCAAGGGGCTCAGAGGAGCCCGTATGACGCCCGTGGGTGCCGTGCCTGGTGACATAGGGACCTTCGTGGCCTGGGTGTTGCCGCAGTTGCTGCACCTGTGGGCGAGAGGCGAAACTGCCCCGGGCAACGGACGGGGCAGGTTCTGCAAGGCGGAAAGCGTCGATACTCCAACAAGCTTCTCATATATGAACCTTGAGATTGGCCCACACACCCGAGATTGGAGACACTGGGCAGATCCTTTACCATACAGGCAGATGTCAGAAAACCCGCGAGTGAATCAGGATGGGGGAGAGAAGGACCCTGCCCCAATTTTAGATTTTTCCCCCCAGAAAATGTTCTGGCCAAGGGAATAGGGCAGAGGCATCAGTTGATTTAGTTGCCCTGTTCATTCCCATCGAGCTGGTGGACTGCAGGGGTCTCTGAGCTCAATTCTGGTCTGAAAAAACACAAAGAGGAAACAAAGAAGTGTGATTAATTTTTCTTGTTGTTTTGACAAGGAAACCTGATCCAACTTCTTGGCCTCCACTTGAAATGCTCTACTCAAAACACTGCTTTGCCATGCGTGATGTCCCTTCCAAATAGCCGAAAGTGCCATTTCCCAGTGCAACCTGTTGGCACTCGACGAAAACCTCCCTTCCCTCGGGTGCAGCAGTCCCGAGGAAGTGGCAAGAGCAAGCAGAAAGTTAATCTTTAACCTGCGCTGGCTGCCGGCGATGCTCTGCAGCGGCTCTGCTGCTTTCATGGAGCTGCTGCCGCCCTTTGGTTTCCTTTATCCGATGTGGCCCCTGTTGCGTGCGCATTAGCTGAGCTCATGCTTGTGGCTTTCTTCGAAAGTCCACTTAGGGTGTGTAACCAGGCATTCCTAATGCTGAATATGTATATATATATATATTTTCCCCTGGCATTTTGCTTTTTTTAAAAAAAGAAAAAACAATGGGGTTGGAAATAAAGAGCTGCTGGGACAGCACAGAGTTCTGCAGAGCCGGCTGGGATCGTGTTCAAAGGGAAGGTGCCCCAGAAAGGCTGATTTCAATAAGCAGTGGTGCCACATTCCCATCTTCCCTGGAGAAAATCCCTTCACCGCACTGCCCGTATCTACCTACTGCGGGGAAAACCTATATATGCCATAAATGTGTGTCCTGCAGGTATTTGTAGGTGCTGTTATATGGACTTAATATATATGGAGTGCTGTTATATGGATCTATGTTATATGCAAGGTGCAATTCTGCAATGCGTAAAAAGGATGTTTTCCACGTATAATTCAGTCTCCCAGTCTTTTGCAAGCTTTTGCAAGCTGAGGTTTGCAGCTTGGGGTTCAGCCATGTGCTCCTCAAACCCCAAAGCAGCAGGTTGTCACACAAGGCTGGGGCTGCGTGCGGAGAGCTCGCAGTGTCCGTCCTCATCGCTCTGCCAACCGCGGGGCCGAGAAAAACTTCCAGACAGGAAGAGATGGTGCCCCAGGGCCTCAAAACCCGCAGCAGCAGCTTCTCTAATGACAAAAACCTCAGATTTTTTTTGTTTGTTTTTTTAAGCTGGCAGAAATTCTGTCTTAAAAAAAAGGATTTCTTTTTTCCTGCTATTTTCTATTTTTTATTTGAAAGTGAAATGCAGCATGTTCTCCATGTGCTCTTGCACCCCTGCTGAATTGAATGGCCATGGAAAGGAGCAATGTGATAGATTTGGAAATCTAGGATTTTTTTTTGGCATTTTTAGATTTTTGCAGTATGTCTCAGCCCTTCCATTCATTTACCCATATGGAAGTCTAGAGATACTTTATTAACCCGTTTTCTCCCTGAGCATTTAATATGGGATCTCTTGTGTTAAGTACGTTGTCCTTTGCAAGCGAATTAGCGCCCCGGAAATTATCAGTTTTCCAACCAAAAACAGTCCTTACGCTCTCTTGTCTGAAGCTGCGGGGTCTGTGCTCCAGCTTGGCACCTTTTGAAGATTTGGGAGTCCCAACAGGGCTGCTGTGGCCGGTTGCACAGCGAGTTGGCAAATTGCAGCCTTGCCAGCGGGTGATTAAGAAGGCAAAAATCTTCCCCCCTCTTTGCACAGTCCTGCCCGGATGGGAAGCAGAGAGCAGATACCGGTTACCCAGCCCTTGTGAGCAACCCCTCGTTATGCAAATCCTCCTGATTCCCTCATCCTCCTGTGCGAAGGACGGGGACTCACCTGGCTCCTTGGCTTGGTGCAGGGAGCTGAGCAGCCGGCTGGGCTTTCAGCTCCCCTTGTGCCCAGGGCTTATTTTGTTTAATCCCAAACTGAACTGCTGTGCTTAATATTGCTTTATCATTCTTATCATCATTCTTCTTACTCTTACTTTTAAAATTCTTATTAACATTCATATTATATTATTATCATTGTTATTATTGAAGGTAGCAGTTGTCAAAACTCAAGACATGGTGGGTAAAAGTGAAAAACTGGTTAAGGGAAAAAAATATATTTATTTAATATGTGGGGGTAGGTTTTAAAGCATGTTGGTGTTACACAGGTGCGTGCATCTCCGTGTTGGTGAGGATGGTGCCCATGGGAGTAGCAAAGTGGAAAGCTCAGTGCGGGATGCGGGATGCGGGATGCATCCTTGCAGGGGTGCAAGCCCCCGCAGCGTGAGCTTGCAGTAGCTGGGGTGGTTGTGGGTATGGGTTATTAAAAGGTGCCTTTTCTCTGGGCCAGCCTTATTTTGCACCTGGGTGCTCCCAGGACAAATAATTCCGGGGTGCAGCCATATGGTTGGGTGTCTTCCAAGCCCCTGACACGGCTCTGGTCGGCAGGCGTCCTGCCTCTGCGGCTCAGCCCCGTGCCTGCTCTGCGCCTGCTGCCCCTCGACCAAGAACTCCACCATCTCCCGCCTGCTCTTCACCTTCTTCCTCTTCCTCGGCACCCTTGTGTCCATCATCATGATCATACCTGGCGTGGAAAAGGAACTGTACAAGGTAAAGGCTACTTGCGTGTCTGCTGAATGGGGAAGCTGGTTTTGCTAGGCCTGGTGTTGCTCCTGTTTCCCTTTTCCAAAGTTCTCATTGGGGAAGGGTGTTTTTAATCCTGCTTTCTGAAGAAGGTGACGATTGCAGCTGGAAAAGCTCATGCATCGTCTGCTTTTCCCAGCTCTCTATGGGACAAGTCTTCTGCATCCCACCTTGGGGACTGAAGGGACCAAATGACTTGCAAGTTGGGATCTTGGCTCGTGCTGCATGTGCCTCAATGTATGGCCTTCACCCTGACTTGTCACTGAGCCCCAGGGTGCCGTTTAGCCCTGGTACTTCCCAAAGACGCTCTCCAGACCACATTGGAGCAGGTCCTTGGAGGATGCTCCACTAATGCTCTTCTCCCGCTCTGTCTTCCGCAGCTCCCCGGCTTCTGCGAGGGCAGTGACTCACTGCTGGGAGTCCAAGGCCGCATTCCCTGCAGCAGCTTCCTGGGCCACAAGGCCGTGTACCGCATGGGCTTCGCCCTGGCTGCCTTCTTCTTCCTCTTCGCGGTGCTCATGCTGTGTGTGAGGAGCAGCAAGGACCCGCGCGCGGCGGTGCAGAATGGGTGAGCCGCGTAGCCCCGAGGCGGGCGGCGGGGCCCCCGGTCCCCACGCTGCCTCGGCACCTCTCGCTCTCGCCCACAGCTTCTGGTTCTTCAAGTTCCTGGCCCTGATCGGGATCACGGTGGGGGCCTTCTACATCCCCGATGGCACCTTCACGTCAGGTAGGGAGATGCGCGCTTGGGGGCTGGGCATCGCCGGTGCCGTTGTCTTCTCCTGCTGTGGCTGGGCAAGTCCTGCATCCTCTCTGTGTGCACAAACTGTACACAAATTTATTACCTTTAAACACTGTCGGGAATGGTTGCCCCTGCCTCGTGTCATGGTGTTTTTTTGGGCGCAAATTTGAACCCCAGGGTGGCCAGGCTGGGTGATCCAGATCCTAGGGCTGGAGCCACCATGGGGGTCATTGGTTGAGCTGCCAAATCTCCCCCTTTCCCTCTCTATTAACTGTCTTTTCTCCACCAAAGTGTGGTTCTTCTTTGGTGTGGTTGGCGCCTTCCTCTTCATCCTCATCCAGCTCGTCCTCCTCATCGACTTTGCCCATTCCTGGAGCCAGGTGTGGCTCCGCAATGCGGAGGAGAGCAACGCCAAAGGCTGGTATGCAGGTCGGTGTGGCAGGGGAGGAGGTCACTGGGGAAAGGCCTTTCCTGCTGGGGAGATGCAGGAGGCCCGTCCTGCAGCAGGAACCAGCACTAGGAGTTGGTCCCCGGGCTGGGGGCTGGAGGGCTTCACCTTTTCCCCTCCACCTTTTCCTCCCCCAGCTCTTTCCGTTGTCACCTTCATCTTCTACGCTACCTCCATCACGGCTGCTGCCTTGCTCTACGTCTACTACACCAAGCCTGATAGCTGCACGGCTAGCAAGGCTCTCATCAGCCTCAACCTCATCTTCTGTGTCATCGTCTCTGTTGTGTCCATCCTGCCTAAGATCCAGGTGAGGATAGGGTGAGGGGGGACCCTGGGCAGCTGGTCTCCCTGCCACCAGCTTGGTGCCATGGGCACCGTAAAGTCTAGGGCAGATATTGGCTCCCCTAATCCCCATGTCTCAGGGAAGTGGCCACCATGTCCTTGCGTGGGCAACTTGTCCCAGGGACCTTGCTGTGTTTGCAGGCGGCTCAGCCCCACTCGGGCCTGCTGCAGGCCTCCCTCATCACCCTCTACACCATGTTCATCACCTGGTCGGCCCTGGCCAACGTCCCAGGTAAGCGAGGAGCGGCCTCGGGCTTGCTGCCTGTGTCCTGGGGACCTCTTCCGAGGCATCCACGGGGCAGTGGGGTTGGAACAAGGTCTTTGAGGAGGGTGTGTGTCTCCGCAGACCGGTTGTGTAACCCCACACTGCTGTTGAGGAACAGCACCAGTGTTCTGTCAGACACGGGGCAGCTCACGACATGGTGGGATGCCCCCAGCATCGTAGGGCTGGTGATCTTCATCCTCTGCACGTTGTTCATCAGGTGAGCACTCAACCTTTACCCGCCTCCCCGAGAGGCTCTTGGAGGCTGTTAGGGCAAGTTGGGGGTCATGGAGGTTGCATCATCCTCAGGGATTTGGGGAAGTCTCTCCCAGCCGTCCCATTCCCGAAGGTCCTGGGCCAGCTGGTCCGCAGGGTCTCAGTGTGTTGGGAGAGCTCTGGATAAGTGGTGTCCTCCAGATCCCACTGGATCCATGGGACAGGCCCAAAGGAGCTGAAGCCCAGTGGTGGCCTGGGAGGGAGCGGGGACAGCGCCTGCAAGCTGGCCCTGAGCCCCCCGTCTCGTCCGCCCTTAGCATCCGCTCCTCGGACCATGCCCAGGTCAACAAGCTGATGCTGACAGAGGAGAGCGCGGCCGGCGCGGCCCATGGGGACGCTGCCTTGGAGAGCGGCCCGCACCGTGCCTACGACAACGAGCAGGATGGCGTGTCCTACAACTACACCTTCTTCCACATCTGCCTTCTCCTGGCCTCCCTCTACATCATGATGACCCTTACCAACTGGTACAGGTGGGCACCGTGCAGGAGTGGGCACCCCCCAGCACTGTGGGCCCTTGAGGACTGTCTCCCGCTCCTGGGATCCTCTCAGCTCCTGCCTGGGGTGGGCATGGACCTTCCTGCACACACTGGACTCTTTGCTCATGTGGCTGGAGTAAACATAGCTCATGCCCTACCAAATTTTAATTATATTTTGGAAGCATCGATGTTCTCGGGGCTTAGAGGGGCATCTGCAGCCAGAGCATTAAATACAGCGCTGAACCTGTGAGAGCAGAAGGTGCAGAGAGATGCGGCTGCTCCCTATTTTGTAAAACTGGTACCACTGTCTCTAAGCTAGGAGTGGGGCAACCTCTGTGCAGCAAAGGTGGTTTCTGACCTGGCTGGGCACTGCCCACGTTTGCATCCTACCTCTCTGCTGAGTCCTTAGAGCTCGTGACATGCACGATGCCTTCCCGGAGCTGCCGAGCAGTGCAGTGACCCATGGTTTGGTGTTTCAGGCTGGATGAGAGATTTGAGGTCATTACAAGCCCTTGGACGGCAGTGTGGGTGAAGATCTCCTCCAGCTGGGCCGGGCTCCTGCTCTACCTCTGGACGCTGGTGGCTCCCCTTGTCCTGCGTGAACGAGACTTCAGTTGAGGAAGCCCCGGTGACCCCGTGGTTGGACCTGAGTGGCTGAAGCCCCGTGGCTGGGAGCTGCTCTTGTGTCCCCACCTGGTCCATGAGCCTGGGGACAGCCCCAGCTCTGCCTTACTCTTGGACTTGGGTTTTGCACTTGAGAAGAGCCACTCTGGCTTGTGCCTTCTTGCAGGTTTTTCTGGTTTAATTTAAAGGGATTTTTTTTTTAAGTGCTAAGTGGAGAAAATGAATAGGCAAGAGATGTGCGAAGCGATCGAGGATGCTTCTCAAATCTCTTGTAATAACCATGTTTATTTAAGTGCCTCCAGGCCTGCACGGCTTGGGACGTTGGTAGCTGCTGGCCTTGGTGCCTGCTGGGGGACTGTGGTGCCTTCTGGAGCATCTCTGGTAGCTGCTTCATTACACGGATGGCAGGACCTGGCTCTGGGCTGGTGCCTGCTGCCTGCTGGACATGGCCAGGAGAGGGTTTGCCTGTCTGGATGGCCTTCAGGAGAGCGAATTTCACCCCGTCACGTCCCTAGGAGCTGCCTCCCTGCCCCGCACTGTCCCCATGGGGACATGGGCCCCTTCCTTGGGCGATGCTTAAGTGCGAGGCAGGTTTCCCCCCTGGCTGCTCGGTTTTGGGTCAAACCCCAGTGAATCACCTTGTCAATAAAGTCTCATTTAGAAAATGAAGCTGCTGGCAGATGACTTCTTTGAGGGATTTTTCTGCATTTTGGGGATGAGGAGGCCTGCCTGCATAGCGCACATGGGCAAAATGGGATGGTGGGTATCTACCTGGGGCCTAGCAGCTTTTCTGAGGGTGGAGAATTGTAGTAATTGGAGCAAAATTGGAGCACCCTGGTGTCCGACCTGGAGCTGCTCTCAGCTCCCATCCATAGATGAGGCATCACAGAGCTGGGGATGTGCAAAAGTGAAATGCACCCCTAGGGTGAGCAGGGGCTACAAACTAGCTTTGCCCCCCAGAGTTATCATCCTGCCAACCCCGAAGCAGGACTGTGGACCCTGCTTGTTGGTCCTGTGCCCACACTCATGTGTGTTTTGGGTTGCTCCTGCTGCAGGAGCCCGGTGTGAAGCCCGCTGGGGTTTTCAACCTGTGCTGGGGTGTGCAAAGGGCACGCTGAGGTGTGCATTGCATGCAGAGGTGTGCAAACCACGCTGGGCTGTCCGGACTAGAGGACTAGAGGACTAGGACTAGGACTAGAGGAAATGGCCGGAAACTGAAACATCAAAAATTCCATAGGAACTTAAGGAAAAATTTCTTAACAGTGAGGGTGACAGAGCACTGGAACAGGCTGCCCAGAGAGATTGTGGAGTCTCCTTCTCTGGAGATCTCCAAAACCCGCTTGGATGCAGTCCTGTGCCACGTGCTCTAGGTGACCCTGCACGTGCAGGGGGTTTGGACTAGATGATCTCTAGAGGTCCCTTCCAACCCTAAGCATTCTATGATTCTATGATACTTCACTGTTCTTAACATGAATGCAGCTTACGTTGCACAAACCAGAGCTACTTCAGAAAGTCTCAATTTCTCCCTGGAAGAATGAACAGCTGGGGATACAGAAATGCAAGATTTGCTTTCTGTAGAACTTAATCTGGCTTTATTTATTTCATTAACCCACTTATTTCATTAACCCATTTCAGAAATCTGCACTGCTATGGAGAGTCCCTGCTCCTTATATCCCAAGAAAACACTTCCACTCCCTCTCTTTTACCATGTGTAGTAGTTCTGTTGCTCTCTGACCTGACCAGAAAATGAGTTTTTATCACTGTGAAATTAGGTTTTTCCAAGACAGTGTTTCCACAGTGGTAAAAACTCATGTTGGCTGTAAACTATAAAAACTACACATGGTTCCAGAGCAGCAGGAAACCTAAGGCTCCTTCCATACCGTGTTGGGGTGTGCGACGTTCTGGGCTTCGCACCCTGTGCTGGGGTGTGCGACGTTCGGGGGTTTGCACCTTGTGTGGGGTTGTGCAAACCGTGTTGGGGTGTGCGATGTTCCGGGGTTTGCATCTTGTGCTGGGGTGTGCAAACCATCCTCGAGTGTGCGACGTTCTGCGGTTTGCACCCTGTGCTGGGGTATGCGACATTCTGGGGTTTGCACCCCCCTGTGCTGGGGTGTGCGATGTTCCGGGGTTTGCACCTTGTGCTGGGGTGTGCAAACCTTGCTGAGGTGTTGGGGTGTGCGACGTTCTGGGCTTCGCACCCTGTCCTGGGGTGTGTGATATTTGGGGATTTGCACCTTGTGCGGGGTTGTGCAAACAGTGTTGGGGTGTGTGATGTTCTGGGGTTTGCACCCCCCTGTGCTGGGGTGTGCAGCCCATGCTGAGTTTTGCAAACCGTGTTGGGGTGTGCGACATTCTGGAGTGTGTGACCTGCACTGGCGTGTGTGACGTGCTGGCATCTGTGACACGCTGAGTGTGCAGCCCGTGCTGGGGTGTGCATTGGAGCTGGCTTGTGCAGCCCTGTTGGGGAGTGCAGCCCGTTCTGGGGAGTCTGCACTGGCGTGTGTGACGTGCTGGCATCTGTGACACGCTGAGTGTGCAGCCCGTGCTGGGGTGTGCATTGGAGCTGGCTTGTGCAGCAGCCCTGTGGAGTGCAGCCCGTTCTAGGCTGTGCAACCTGCATGGGGGTGTCTGACCTGCCTAAACTAGGCCAGGAGCCCTTAGGTTGCTGATCATGCTCTGCTCGCTGCAAACTCCCATGTGGGCAAGTGCCTTCGGGCTCCATCCCTGCTCTGCAACGGGACCGAGGAGCATGAGCAGGGTCCAGAAGCAGTTTCCTATGAGCAATGTAATGCTGCACTCTCTCCTGCTTTGATGCCTCTCAGAAGTAGTAAATATCACCTCTGCTGGTCAGGGGGACTTGGTGGCCTCATGTGCTTTCCTCATTCACTGGGCTGAATCCACTAGCTTTGGTTTTGGCAGCACCACTGGAGAGGTCTGATGTGGTCCTTCCTTTGACTTTCTGGTCCCAGCTAGCCAGACTGGAGAAACTATGGCTTGTGCAATGCTCTGACACCAGATTCATTTTCTTTCAATCCTTCTACCCATTATTTATGGGAAAAATGAATGATCTTCGCTTGCTGCTTTCTTCATGAGACCTTTTCAAAGCGCTGAGTGAAGAGACCTTGATTTAATCAATATTTGCACCCGCAGAAAGACTAAGGAAACTGCGTCAGGGTGAATAGGAGTGACCCCTGCTTCCCACCACCTCCTGCCTTTCGGTTTCAGATATTTTCAATTTCTGCTTGTGATGAACAGGGCTCAGATTAGACAGCACCTTGGCCTCTGCATCCCTGTGGCTCCAGGAGATGCAGGATGCTTGCCCAGGGGCCTGGATGCGGTGGGGCAGCCTATGGCTCTCCTTACTCCTTGGTTGGGTGGAGCAGACCATTTTATTCTAGTTTTCCAGGTTAGCAATTCTCTAGGAAATGTCTTATGCCATCTTTCACTAAGCAGGTTGGACTCCCATCCCTGTCCCTACCCATCGGGTGGCCAAGCCGCAGCCTCCCTCCCAGC